CATCCATCACTCCACACACCCATCATCCAGCACACACACACACACCCATCATCCATCACTCACACACCTATCATCCAGCACTCAGACACCCATCATCCAGCACTCACACCCATCATCCAGCACTCACACACACATCATCCAGCACACACACACATCATCCAGCACACACACACACATCCACATCATCCAGCACACACAGACACATCCACATCATCCAGCACTCACTCACACATCATCCAGCACTCACACACACATCATCCAGCACTCACACACACATCATCCAGCACTCACACACACATCATCCAGCGCGCACACGCACATCATCCAACACACACACACACATCATCCAGCACACACACACATCATCCAGCACATCATCCAGCACTCACACACACACATCATCCAGCACTCACACACACACATCATCCAGCACACACACACATCATCCAGCACTCACACACACATCATCCAGCACTCACACACACATCATCATCCAGCACTCACACACCCATCATCCAGCACTCACACACACATCATCCAGCACTCACACACATCATCCAGCACTCACACACACATCATCATCCAGCACACACACACACATCATCCAGCACTCACACACACATCATCCAGCACTCCACATCATCCAGCACTCACACACACATCATCCAGCACATGCACATACTGCATTCATTATACACACTCTTCACGCACTACAAACACACTACATTCACTATACACCTTCTGCATTCACTATACACACTCTGCATTCATTATACACATTCTGCACTCACTACACACTACATTCACTATACACACTCTGCATTCACTACAAACACACCTACATACCAAATTTCATTGTACACACTCTGCACTCACTAAAAACACACTGCATTCATTATACACACTCTGCATTCACTACAAACACACTACATTCATTATACACACCCTGCACTGCACTATATGCATAGGAGTGTAATTTTAAAGGGAATCTTGGGTGAGTTCCCACACTTTTTTCCCCAGGACTTGACCCCTGACTGGAAGCATGGGGTAATTCGGCAAGTAACAAAAAGAAATCAGCGATCATAGCTGAACTGATGGAAAGCGACCAAACCAGTAATGCAGCAACAGTAAACAGGGAAGAGGCAGAGTTCCAGAGGGATGTTAGATGGTGACCAAATTCCCCGCAGGAGCTGATCGTACAGATCATGGAGCAAGCAGCAGCACGGCAGACCAGAGCTGGCATACTGCAACAAGACACAACATCACATCCAGGATCCATTAATGGAGGACAGTGAAATAAAGTGAACTATGCTGCATTTAAAAACTTTACAGGTGGGGACATGGAAATTGACACCTATTTGCAGGATTTTAAAAAACTGTGTGCTCTGGAGGACCTGGACAAAGAATTGGGCAGCCATCCTGAGCAGCAAATTATCAAGAGCAGAGCAGCTGAAGCCTACTGGGCAGTATCAACTCAGATATACACAACTATGAGCAGGTAAAATACATTTTACTGGCCTGGTATACTGTAACCATGGGTGCAGCCAACACGGGTATTTTAAAAACCAATTGCCCAAACCATAGTAGAGGGAGCTTGGAACACACATCATCTCAGCCAGCTCGGGCCGCAGAACCACTGTACCAGCAAGAGTTTCACCCAACACATAACTACCCAGAGGAACAGTGGAGGGTCCTACATGAGGTAAATCCTGTCTAAACTTCAGGCGACAACCGGGAACACCATCGGCAGTGGGTAACTGTAGACGGGCAAGAGGCAAGTGGACGAAGAGACACTGGCGCAACATTAACCCTGGTGCAAACGCACAAGGTCAGTCCACAAGCCCGGACCGGCCAAACCGTAGCAGTGAGGGTGGCAGGAGCCCCAACAGCCCGAGTTCATCACAACTGGGATTCGGGGCCAAACACTTGGAGGTTGGCATTACGCGAGACCTCCTCGCGGAAGTACTGTTGAGGAACGACCTGGGCTTCCTGACATCACAGTTCACCGCACCACGCCCAGAGGAGACCCTACCCATGACCACGAGACTGCAAGCTCGCAGGGGAGAGCCGATGCACTCAGAGGACTCTCAGGTAGGACCCTATGTCCCGACCCTAGCAGAGAATCCCACTCCCTACTAGGGTACCCATCAAGGTTTTGAAAGCGAGCAAAAGGCGGATCCTACCTTATATGTATAGGAAACAGGTAGAGTCCCCCCAAGGATCAAAAGGTTTGAGAAATATAAGAAATATATACTTTTGTCTGATTGGGCGGCGAAACCCCGCTCCTCCCCCATGTTAAAACCCTACTTTGAGAGGACGTGGCCGCTGTATGCACCCCCTCTTTCGAGGATAGCGAGAACCTTCCCTTACTTGACCTGCTCACCCAGTCTCTAGGTTGCGTAGAGCAGGTCTGCCTGGGGGGAAAACTAAGGCCACCCAGCTGCTCCAGGGATAAAGTAAAAAATGTTCTCTGTCCTACCCGGGTACACCCATGCTGCAGTCCACCAAGACCCAGGGAGAAACCCCACTATGGCAGCAGCCTTACCATATCCCTGAAGTAGTTAAGGAGAACATGCTGAAGTAGATTCAAGACACGTTAAAGATAGGGGTCATAGAGCCATCTCAGAGCCCTTGGGCTTTTTTGGTAGTGCTGGTACCTAAGCGAGACGGTGTGACTTGCTTCTGTATCGACTACCGGAAACATAATGCTGCTAGATCTTATGGCCGGGGAGAAGTACTTAAAGCGGCATTATCATGCCGAATGTACCTTTCCTTAATCGCTTCCTCTTCTCTCAGGATCTGTTTTTCCAATCTAATCTAGTTTTCATTAAAACATAAGACATAGTAGGGACTACTTTGTCTTATGTATTTTTCTTACGCTTGACCCGCTCTAACCAACTTCCTGTGGGTCAGAGAAATTTTCCCACAATACTCACCCTTTTTTCCGTGACCTCACGATGCCTGCAGTTAGTATTCCCGAACGTCCTGTCATTTAAACAGGACGCCAGCGAAACTACAGAATTCACCCTAACAGAATGAGAACAGTTTGTTCATTCATGTTAGGACGACATTTGGTACTTTTAGTTCTGTGGCGAGACCGCTGGCTGTCCGTGAATTGCCCTCTTCTATATTCGTAGAATCCCCATTATAAAATGTGTATATCCCCATGTAGTTGTATTTTAACTGTGTGATCTGCCTTTTGACCGTGCGGGTGGTGCTCAGAGCCCGTGCGACTCCCGAACGAAGACCACCCCGGTGCCCCATTAGAACGTTCCCCCCCAATTAATCAGAACGTTAGCACTTGCAACATACGTGTGAAACCGCAAGGGAAGTAATTAATGAGCGCTCCCCTGGGTGACCACCAGAGCGAGCATTTCCCTGGGTGACTACCAGGGGGAGTGTTCGGATCCCAAAGAGGGACACTTCCCTTGCAGGGGCTTTGCACCGGGACTCCAGGGACGGGTCCCTGATGTTATAAAAAAAACACAGAAATGAGGTGTGATTGGCGCTAGATTAAGAAAGTGCACAAGTTCCCACTGCCACTGATCACCTAATATGGCATAACATACATAAATATAGTGTAAAAAACAAACAAAGTTGGAAGTGTAATAATATGATAAGCAATAAAATACTTACGCTTCCAATAAGATATAGAGATTACAGATCTATACAGGAGACAAAAAGCAAGATACTCGCATAGTGAAATATGATTTTACCGTATATTCATAGCAAGATCTGCTTAGTCCTACTCACATTTACCAGAGCCACTAATAGCAGGCTCTGGCTTTGTTGGTATGTAAATAGGGTGTATCCAAGTCATACAGCTACCACACAGACCGGTAAAGGAGTCTCCAGGGTACAGATGGTAAAAGACAGGATACTTTATTTCAAAGATAAAACAACGCGTTTCAACGATAGACGTCTTTTTCAAGTGTGTGACAATAACATAGTATATGATCTCACATTTATATACACATAAAAGGAAGTTAAATTTTGCGCCAATTCCCGTCGTCTGACCGGCATGCCGCGATCCCGGAACTCCGATGGGCAGTTCATGTGTTCCAAGCTGTATTTCCGGTACAGAGTTCTTGTGTTCTACCTAGTGTTTCCGGTTGGGTATGCTTCCGGTCTCTCGCATTGAATATTGGATGAATGTTCGTGGGATTGTCATATTGAACAATCGAAAGTCTCATGTGTGTGAAACTTGTTCATGAAACACATATTAAATAAAATGACAGATAAACCAGTGTTAATAACATACTCGATCTTATCAGAGACATAGAAAGGAAGGTAATCTTTTTTAGATGAGAGTAAAGATATATATCTAGTGTGTGTGTGTGTGTGTGTATATATATATATATATATATATATATATATATAAAACAAGAGGGGGTTGGCTGCACTCACCTTAACATGCA